TTTAGGTATCCTGGGGAATTAAAGGTTCACCTTTGGGAGTATATTGGGACCTCATAGGGATTATAGTACCCCCCAAAAGGTCAAAGGTTACCTGCTCTACTACTAGGTTTTCCTGAGTGCATGGGTAGGCAAACAACTAACGACGCAAGCAAGCATCAAGTAAGTAAGTATGTACGTACGTATGTACATACGTACCTGTGTGTATGCATGCATCTATGTAGTTGGACATTAAAACGTATGTGAATTCATACATGCTTTTACGCAACATGTGTGCACACAAATACATCTGTACACAGGTCCAGAGACGTTACCTGTATTGACGAATGTACGCCCTTGTTCGTGTGCGTTCTGACCAGGTATAAAGGTGTTGGGCTAGAATGAATCGCGGACACCGCATTGTGCAGTGAAAAGGGCAAGCATCGATGGATAACAGACTCGTAAAGTAGGGTCCCTGCCAAGAGTGACGTACTTGTTTGGGGATCAGGAAAGCAACCCTAATTGCCCTCATCTACAAAACTGCCCAAATTCAACTCCCAAATCCTGAAACCCCTCGGGTTCAGATTTTAGGGACCCTCTGAATAGTGTCCCTTTTAGGGTCCTTTTCATAAGGGTGCCGTACTATTAGGGTCCCTTTTAAAGTCCTTTTTACAAGGGTGCAAAATATATATATATATATATAACTGACTCGAAGCCGCACGGCTCAGCCCAGCGCGCTAGCGCCACGGCTTCTCTCCAGCATCGGGCCCTGGCAGCTGTGGCCACCTCAGGCGCGGGAAAATCTCCTTACATTAAGGTTTAGGGTTTTAGGGTTTTAGGGTTTAGGGGTTTAGGGGTTTAGGGGTTTAGGGTTTAGGGTTTAGGGATTAACATGTTAAGATTGAGCGTTTGGGATGGGATGTTGGGTGAAAGTGTTGGAATCTGGGACTCCGATCAACCAGAGTTAACATCTTCCGGTTGAGATATATTTTTCGGATTGCAGAGATATGGAATGTGCAGATGAGCGACTTGAATGCATTGATTTGTTTTGCCCGACCTGGTCGACAGGAAAGTATGACGACAACCTTTTGGTGGCGCATCTGCACTTATCAGACTACACGGTATGAAGGGTCTGTTCCTGTTGTGACATGGTTCAGCCAGTCACAGCAACACAATGGACAGTAGTAGCAGCAGCAGTAGTAGTATTCGTCGTCGTAGTCGTAGTCGTAGTCGTAGTAGTAGTGGTGGTAGTAGTAGTAGTCGTCGTAGTAGTAGTCGTCGTAGTAGTAGTACGTGCAGCAGCTGCAGCAGGAGTAGTACTACGTCGT